CAGCTTTATAAAAGTATAAAAGCTCTCATAAAGTATTTTTCTGAGGTCTGTCTTATCAGGTAAATTACTGTACACAGTGTATTCATTAATTTTCATTTTCATGTAGTAAAGGCTCTATGCCTTCATAAAGGACGTACTTTTCCTTTGTTTAAGGGTATTTGGGCAGTTTATTCTCTGTTATATTCTCAAGTAAACAATACATACAAGTACAGTACAGTATTTTCTGAGGAAACACTCGTACTTATTTTTTTTAACCCCATTCCCGATAACCCAGCATTTTCACAAACTTGGCCACCCTTCGGTCCACATTAGGCCGAGTTTTCGAGGTTCTACTGTATTTTTATTTTTACACAAAACAGAAATAAGCTAATAGTTCCTTCCTTTAGTCTAAGTTTCTTTTATTAAATAATAATAATTTTATCACACTGAACAAATGTTTTTGTCAGTTGTTGTTTTTTAGATTGGCACAAAGAATACTTCAGAAGAATAAATAAAAAATTAACTGCCAATGAATGATAATGAGATAAATTCAAATAAAATATTCTAATATATCAACTTAATCTTAATACCACTTAAAATATATTAAAAACAAATTCAGCATTATAAGCATACAAAATAATCATTATTATTAATATATAAATAATATATGTTCTTTATATGAAAACAATACATTTCCAATTTCTTGAATTATCATTCTATAATTATTATTTATATTATTATTGAAATTAATGCAAAAATTAGAAGTAATTTTTATATATATTGAAATTTTTTAGTGCTAAACCATATGATGATATAGATGATACAATTGATTCTAGTAAAAATTTAAAGTAAGTAAGAATATTTTTATTATACTTAAATTTTAAAATAATAATAAATTAATAATAATAATTTTTGTTCTAGTTTGAATATGAATACAGCTGTTTAATTTTATATGAAAGAAAAAGCTGTGAAAGTGGGAAGAATATTTTGCTTATACATTTTGGTCACAAATATTTTATTATATTTAATATGTTTAAATAAATTTATTTGAAATCAAACAATATATCATAGTTTGAATTTAAAAATTCTAATCTATGGTATTGATATTATGATTATTTTTTAATTATTTTAAATAATTTTTGTTGTTATTCAAATTATGTGTAATTGAGGAATAATCTAAAAGTTATCAGTGAATTAATTGAAAGTGAAGTGATTGATATGATATTAATTGATCAGATGACTATCTCTATCTCTATTATTCTTTAAAATTATTTTTTAATTTTTAGATTTTGAAGATATAAAAATGTCATGATATCAAAATTTAACAACTTAATGAGTTAATCTATATGTATCTTGAGCTTTTAAGAGACGTTCTGGAAACTAAATTATTTTTTAAAAACAGTGCTTTTGAGGAAGTCAACTTCATCAAAAACATTGTCAAGCAAGAAGCAATGAATTGTGAAACTAGTGGAATAGACTTTTCTCGCTAACAGTGTTAATGTTTTATTATTTTGTACATAAACATGTCTAAAAAATAATTAAATGTAATGTATTTAAGTCTACCTTTATTGTTTGAATTGTGATACTTATGATTCTATTAAAATAAGGTCATTTTCCGTAACTCAAAAATTTTTCTCTTCCTTCCATTTCAAGTTATTGAGAGTCTATTGCATGGTTCCCCAATCTTTTTTGACTATTGACCCTTTCAAGAATTCCTTGATCTCCTCCTTTTTTGCTAATACAGTACATTTAATGATGATAAAAAGAATAATCTGGTAAGCCACTATTAACCGATACACCATTTTCACAGAAAAGATCTAACTGCAGTGTGCAAATTTATAACATCCTGAATTGTCATATACAAACCCGTTGGTTTTTAATAAACAGTTTTTCAACTGACCCCTGAAAATGCCTTATCAATCACTTTGAGGATCCCTAATCTATTGTAATATGAAACTAATATATTTTTTCAATTTTATAAATCTAGCTATCTGATTCAAAATTTCAGCATATTTTTCTGAATACAATTATTTAATAAGAATTCAATAATTTTTAGCTGTATTTCTTATATTTACACTAAAAATGTTTATTATTTGATTACTTTTTCATTGTTCCTCATATTAATATTGTTGAATTTTCAAGGAAAAAAATGTTTTTGTGATTTTATTTAAAAATTAATATACTAAGTTTAATAAATCTTTGTTTTTATTGCCATGAAATTATTACAATAAGAAGNTAACTAAATATAAAAAATATTTTACAATATACCATACTTACTTGGATATAAGACGATCCTGCATATAGGATGAGGTGTGACTTTAGAGATCAAAATAAAGAAAAGTATATTTATTAATACAATTCCAATTTTATTTCATTTAATCACAAATTATTATCAAATGCATGTATTAAGGTAAACAACCATGTTTGCCTTAATACATGATGAATGGAAAACAAAACCAAAACATTATAGTGTGCATGATCTGGAAAAGTTTATTTTTAATGATTCAGAATGTGCTAATATTCATTAAAAACAACAATTTAACTAATATAAAATAACTATATTTATAATCATTGCTAAGTGACCTATATTTCATTAATGTTTTTATAAATAACGAGAAACTATTTTCTGTGAATGAATGAGATGCAATGCGGTTTTTAATTGATGGATGTAGGATTAAACCAATAAACAAAGGGATGTGTGTCTTAATTTGTTTACAGTAGGAGCAAACTTACGATGAATAGACTGTAGACCTATAATGACAGCTTGAAGTATATACGGTTTACAGAAATTTTTGCAAAAGTGCAAAGAATCCTTCATTTGTGCATATATTCAGATCTAGATTTTTGAAGCAGTGAAAAATGAATAAAAACCTCATCTTATATCCGAGTAAATATGGTATTTAATTAACATTATAGTAGAACCTCAGTTTAACAAATAAAATTTCCAGTTCTTATATCATACATGAAAATTAACACCCTGTTAATTTTAAAATGCTTTTTATATATAATTAACAGATTATTTTTTCAAATCCAAGCTTCACTGCTCTTAATTAAATACAATTAAAATGAATTTTGCAAAAAATGTTTGTTTATTTATTTAGATTTACATTGTATACTTGTATGTCAGTCTCAGAATTACAGTGAGTACATATGCAATAACAAATATAGAAAACCTTTCTGAAAAGTAAAACTTCTCATTATTTATAATTATTTCACAGTTGTATCTCTCCCCTGATTTTCCATTGTTTTCATCTTGAACCTTTCTTTTCCACTTTCTTCCTGCTGCTTTGATTATTTCATCAGACCATTTCATCTTAGGCTACCCTTGCTTTCTTGACCTAGTTTCTAGTTTCCAGAATGTCAATCATTCTGTCCATCTTCCATCATTTCTTGTTACATGTCTCGCCCAGCTCCACTTCAACTTTTTAATTTACACTAAAATATCATCTACTTTTGTTTGTTCTCTTATCCAAATATTTCTTAATACAAGTAAAAAATACAATATCTCTTCTTATCTTTTAACATTAATCCTATCTTTTTCCTTTAAGCTTGTTTCTAGTCTTTGTGGCAGGAAGCCATGTTTCAGATGCATACGTCATAGTTTATGACCTAAGCTTCTCATACATACTTGTACTTAATTTTAATTACACAAATATATCTACATAGATAAAAACAGATCAACTAATTAATTTGTCAATTTTTTAACAAACACATTTGGAAAACCTACATTATTACATAATGGATTTTAGTTTTAATGGATACCCTGCATCCAAATTAAATAGAGGTTTTACTGTATTTATTTTCTAATAAATGTAAGCATATAAGTTAGTAAAGCAATAAGAAGAAAGATAATTGTTGGTTATAAATGGAAAATAATTCTATTGATGCTTTTTCTTTTGTCATTTTATTATTTCTAAAAACTCTTTCTAACTTACATTATATAAAGTTCATGTATTTTAAATTATTTTTATATTTAGTTATGCTCCAAAATGCTGAACAGTTTTCAAAATTAAATTTTAAAAAACTATCAAACTCATTTAAAATTCTGATAGTGTCCTTATATGAACATAAATAAAATTTTATTAGCCATCTAGAAATACTATTTACATGCGAAGTGTTTTGAAGGTTGCAATCCCTGAAAATATAAAATATGCCAGTTGATCAGCCTATTCTAAATTTTTTAGACAGAATGAATTATTTTTTATCATTAATAAAGCTATTGTTTTGATAATTTTATCAATAAGATCAAACTCACAGTATTGTACTTTTTTTAATTTGCAGCATTAGTGAAAGGTGTAATTGCTCAAAGTGGAGCCGCAGTTGCAGACTGGGCAGTTATAACTGATCCTGAATTTTTACGTAACAATAGTATTTTATATGGTATAGAATTGGGATGTGATACTCGTTCGTCGGAAAATCTGCTCAATTGTCTCCGTAAACGCACTTTCAAAGAATTAGTAAATTCAAAAGTAAAAGTAAATATCAATATTTTATTTTAAATTTAAAAATAATTATATATTACATTTTTAATAAATTTATTGTTTCTTTTGTTTGTTTAGCGTAAAGTTGGATGGGTTACTTGGGCTCCGGTTGTTGATGGATATACAAGGGTAAAAGACAGAGTACTTCCGGACACACCAGAGAATCTTTTAAAATACCACAACTTTAATCTCAGACCTAATTTTGCATATATGACAGGTGTCACTCGCGATGAAGCTGTGACTATGATATGTAAGTTTGTTTCACATATTAACTGTACAAATTCTATTTTGAAAAATCCAGCAACAAATCGCTTAACTTTTCCAGCAACATTTAAAGCTGTTTGTGGCAGCATCTATTATGATATTTAATTTAAAAAAACTTTTTATATTTTTAATTATTATCAAATATGAAAAGGCTTAATTTTGAGGTTAGGGATGAGTTTTATAAAAAATTGAAGTGCTAATAACAAGTAAAATCATTGTTAAGTCCAACCCTACTCGAGATATGGCACACAACCTCTTCCTATCTCCCCACTCCTTGACCTTTAACCACCAAAATTTAATAACATCAATTATCTTAATATATAAACCTTCTTGCAAAATTTCAGAAATTTTCAACAAAAAGCCCAGAAGTTATTAAGCTTCAAATAGGGTCTTAGAATTGTGCCATGTGTGTGTACACACGCACACGCAGAAAAAACATCCGAATTTTTTGCATTTCTCGATGTTTCAAGGTCCTGAGTCCAAAAGTGTAAAAATCTTAGAGGGTCATTTTTTGACTGATCATACTTTCTCTGTTATATATAGCAACCAGGAAAGTAAAAATATTGTAATATTAAATTTATGTTGTTTTAATCAATATCATTAATATTGTGTAATCTGTAATTTATTATTATTGCTTTTTTAACTGATTCAAAATTATCAATTTTTTTATTATTAGATCTTTAATATAATCAGAAAAACTGTTTTTAAATTTTTAATTTTGATCAAATTCTAATAAATCTGATTAAAATAACTAAATGTTATGTTATTACTTGTGAAAAATAATAAGTATTTTCCAAATAATAATCATAATTCAAGTCAAGAAATATTCCACTTATAATATTTTTGAAAACATTTAACCAAAAATTCTCAATAAGAATATTAAGATATAAATGCTAAATTAATTATCATACAAATCTCATAGGAATATAATCATGCATTTTCATAATTATTGCATGTAAAAGACAGCTTAAAACATTATGTGAAACTTATGGTATGCATTTTTTTTTTTTTTTTTTGTTGATGTTATAAAATGATATGTGGTCTGAGAGACCACACAATGGTGTAAATATGGCAGATGTAGCACGACAGCAGTTAAGGGGGGCAAGTAGTTTGATAATTCTATTCTAAGCTGAAGATGACCTTTAAATAATTTCTTGTTACAAAAACATTTGATCAAAAACTTTTATGCTGGAATTTTAAGACATAGTATGTTTGTGAATTTAGTTTTTCAGTTTACAATAATACATGAATATGCATAAAGTTTTATTAGACATTTCTGATACATAACTAAAACACAATCATTTCCTAGGCTTTAATGTTCATTAAAAGTAAGTTTAGGGTTAAAAAGATTGAATTGTTGTTTTAGATTGTCTGTGTTCTTTAGTGTTTATTTAAACAACATTTAAAAACACTTTACATTTATCTTTGCACTTATCTGTAAAAGTGGAATAAAATGAAATCTCTACTCTACCATAACTTCATTTAAAAGTAACTTATCTGAATAGCCCATATTAGCTAAAACAGGGAAAAATTTCAAAGTCCAGAAACTAATTTAAATTTTTAACATCTAATTACTATTTCAGATTCTAAAGCTCAGGTAATTCTAAATCTATTAGATTTCTCAAGCCACTCAAAATGTTTTTAAATTAATGAAAAAGTAATAAATAATGTCATGAATTTTTTCCACTAGATGTACAGTACAAGACAGTTCCATTTTATCTTGTCCATCATTTATGGTACTGTACTGTACTGTACATACTATCATCACCAAAGCTAAAAGTATCCCATTTACTCACCTTTTTTCTTATATAATAATAGTTTTTTTTTAGAATATAGCATTTTATATTTTATACATAATGAAACATACAGACATTCATAATGAATTATTATAAAGTAAAAATTAAAACTTGGCTGATGGTATTTAATTTTTTTCAAATGTATAAAAATCCATATACAGAAAAAAAATTGTTGCTTTCATTTTCTTTTCTGTTGTTTACCAGTGACAGTCCAAAATAAGTATTCTCAAACACAGAGATGACCTTTTTCTTTGAGGCTCTACCTCTGCAATAGAATGCAAGTGGAAACAGCATCCTCTGGTTAATTTTGCCAATGTCACAATATAATACATAATTTGACATTGGCAAAATTAACCAGAGGATGCTGTTTTCATTTGCATTCTATTGCAGAGTGGAGCCTCAAAAAAAAAGGTTCTCTCTGTGTTTGAGAATTCTTATTTTGGACTGTCGCTGGTAAATAACAGAAAAAAAAAACAAAAGCAACAATTTTTCTGTGTATATTTGTGATTTTTTTGTATATTAACTATAAAAATTCTTTTTTTTAATCATATTTTTTGAAATATTCTTATTATATTGTTATTAGGAAATTGTTTTTCTAAGTTTATAATTGACTAGCAGACCCCGCCAGGCGTTGTTGTGGCTCAAAATGTATCTATTATAAACGTATAACACTTCCCCCGTGGGGGGAAAATTTTTCGAAAAATTTCTTCTTAGTGTACATTCTCTTGACGTACCCTATTATATAAATTATTAATTAAAACGAGTAGTTTCGGAGATTACCTGCTGCAAACAAACTTACATACATACATACATACATACTTACAAACATTACCTCTTTATAATATTAGTATAGATATAGAATAATGCATTTTTTTTGTACATAATCGGTTATCCGAAAATCGTTTTTTTTTTCCCGAACAACCCCAGTCCCCAATTGATTCGGATAATTGACATTCTACTGTAGCAAGAACTGAAGTATTTTTGAAGGAAACTGAGAACAATCAACATGAAATTGCATTGCAGATAATGGTGAGCCAAAAGTCTGTCTCTGGCATATAAAATTCACGACACAATGGAAAGTCATATTAACCAAAACAATTTTGGTTAATATGACTTTCCATTGTGTTATGAATTTTGTTGATTGGATCCTATTTTAGCCCAGTCAAGCCTAAAAAATACAAAGTTAACCAGAAAACAATCTTCTTTAACTGCACTTAACTACTCAAGCACCGACACAAAAATCTTTATAATGCAGCCTTTTAATTCAAATGTTTTTGGCTATTTTGAAAGGCCTTCATCAGGAACATAAAAATCGAATGATTCTTATTTTGTGCAGGCTTGTATAAATATAAATACAATGTATAATGGTACTTGTACCAATATACACAATATATATATAATAAAATAAATAGATAACTAAATACATAAATATGTAAAAATACAAAACATACATAACATAACTGCTAAAATAGAGAACACCAAAGTGCCTGCTTCTTTAACTGCTCGTCCCTTTATTTTATAATAAAATATTCAAATTAGGTTTGCTCTCCACGCTGCTGCTGATTTACTGGACTCTAAAATTTATTGCTAATCCTTCTTGGTATATCTTATATATAATTGCCATGCTTCTGAATATTTCAAGTGTCTCTTGTCCTGGATCTTTTGTATTATTTTAGTCCTTTGCCAATCCACAGTGACTTCTGTTGCATCTGCTATAGCATATGTTGCTAGCAGGGACTGGTTGCACATTCCGCACATTCGTTTCATGCTCTTTTAGTCTTTCCTTTAAACAAGGATGCACAACCTTTTCTGAAGAAGGGCCAAATTAGGATTAAGTTTACTGACTGGGGACCGGACCTCCAAGCAATTAATGCGATGGCTGAGATTGGATGTTGGCGGCAATCTTCTTGATGTCTGGCGTAATGGCAGATATTGAAACAACCAGCAGATTTTCCAAATTCTCGTTGGTTAACCTGTTCTGTGTTTTGCACTTGTTTAAATTCATAAGCGAAAACGCTTGTTCGCATACA